CTCATCATCTCAAGCCTTTCAATACGGAATTCTTGATCAGTTTACGACTCAAAATTGTTGAGTTTTATAATAGTTCAGATTATTTCCAGCCTCTATAAATATTTGCCAATAATCAATCGGCTAATCAAATTAAAATAGCACCTTAATTTCTTTAATAGCTCTCACACCAACAAACTCACAAACCATATAACGCTCAACTAATATCGGTACACCATTTCGTTATGCTACTACTCATCCGATGTTTAATCGTTTATTTATCAAAAGATGTATCTAAAATTAAATATCAAAAATAAAAAATAATAATCACATGTAAGAAGATAAAATCAGCTTTATTATCTTCGATTAAGTATATATAGATTAATATGTTTTAAATAGTAATTTTACGTCTAAAATTTATTTATCTTAGCTGCAATCAATTATGTCAAAATGAGTAATACAAATTCACTTAAATATTTAACATTCGATCTTTTGTTTAAATAAAATATTAAATACCAATATTTATACATAAAAATGAAGTTTTCTCGTCTGCCCGTGACCACGGTTACTGAAAAGTAGCCGAAACAGAGAGTATGTAGTTTTTCACAAAATAAGCGTAGTATATCCGAATAATATTAGTTTCATTTAAATGAATAAAACTCGCGAAAGTCTTAGAACTCATTTTACGAAGATTTAAAGTTGAAAAAATAATTGTATTTTAATTATTATTTGAAGTTTACTCATACTTTTATTTCTCTTTGTTCTATTTTTATTTCAGTTGCAACGTGTCGGTATAAAATGTATGAACACAACAAATTGCCATGAGCCGACGCGATTTCAATCTTTACACGAATGCAACAGTTTTGAATGCACTTATTTGTACAATCGATAGTACTATGATATATCGCTTTATTGGAATTTCCAATACAAAATTGATATTTTCTAAACATTTTCCGCAGTTTTTGACTATAGGTATCATTTTATCAATAATTTATCTTCATAATATGAAGACTATGCATTCTTTAAGTCTTAATTCTGATAGGTAATCGCAGGTATTAAGATTTGTGGAGTCTGTGGTAGCCTAGTGGTTGAAACAGCCCGCCTCTCATGCACGAGGGCGCTGGTTCGATCTTGGCCCAATGTGATTTTTCCGAGTCATATGTACTTTCTGAGAGTATTAAGACATAACTGATAAATGCATTCCCAAAGATGGTTGATGTCATGCATGCGGCCGGTCGTAAAAACAATTAGCCAAAACTATTCACAATATATAAGGCAGAACCTGGCTAAAGCTAGGAAATTTCCAGGTAAAAGAAGAATCGCAGGTAATAAGTTTTGAGTCACGATGTAAACATTTGATCAACATTTTATTTTCTTTCAGACTAACTCATTAGAGGGGATATAAAATCACAAATAATTCAAATTGTTTTAAACTAAACGGAAGGATGTAACAAGTATCTCTGGGGACTGGGAAGAAATGGAACTTCGGTTTGGCAATCTCCGGTTATATCTAACCAACTCTGGATTAGTTATTACAGAGTTAATTAAAAATCAAATTAAGTCAGGAACTTAAATTACAACGTATATCGATGGAGAATATAATTTAATTTAGCTTCCTATATATAGAACAGATTACTTAATTACGTTTAAGAGAGATGCTAAAGAAAATATAAAAATTTTGTTCTTGAATCTCTTCAGCAAAAAATGAGGTTCAGTTATTGGACGTCAGGTTTTTGTATGTCGCATTCTTTCATTGAAAGAAAACCATCTTGAGTGCTACATCAAAAATGTTTATTCCTTTTCAATTTCCACATAAAACACATACATATTTTTCTTTACTTCTCTATTTAAAATGACTCTTAGAAGTAGACTTACTGTCTGATTTATAACCTCATGGTCTTTATTACTATTAAAGGCATAATAATGTTTATCTATTCAGCAATTAGTAAAACGATAATAAATAAAAGGTAAAGTTAAATAGGAACTACTTAACTGGGATCACATGTATTAATTCAAGTCTTATCTAACTTGGAATCCTATTTCTAATCTTTTAATACCGAAACTAACTTAAAGGCACACGTCTCAACTACAAATGAGGATTTCCTATCTAGACAGCTTTCAAGATGAAGATCTTTTTTACTTAACGTTAAAAAATTCGTATTTCAACGGCGAAGATTTAGATTTTGCTCTATTTTCTTTGGAAATATATTCTTTCTTTGTATACTTTTGTTCACTATTAGTTTTACCGTTTAAGAACAAATACAAATAAATATTTGGAAGGGTATATTAATGGTATATGTTTTTTTTAATAATTCGCAATCTGCAAGTAAAGAGTTACTTTATTTTTCCAAATGTCATTTACTCAAAAATATCTTTAATGATTTGATTTGTTTATTGACGTTCAACTACCGAATTAAAATAAAGAAGTATATAACATACACATGTGATGTATTGCTTTTTAAAAACTAATTCATCAAAATGATAAATTATAATACATTATCTTATCATTCATTATTTTTTTTAAACACGTAATAAAATAAATCTATGTAACTATCAAATTAGCATGATTACTACATATTGGGTATAAATAAATTAGAAAAACGAAAATATTCTTACAAATGTTCTATCAATAAAAAATAATGTCTGCAAAAACATACAACTTCTTACATATTATAAAATTCACGAAAAGAAGGCTTCCCATTACTAAAAAACCTTTTTTATAAACTCTCCACCAAAAAAAAACAACTGCCATTTTTTCCAAATTCGTTTCTTATTCAACGATATTAATGAAAAAATTAAAAAAAACACCAAAAGAAAAATCATGTATTATTCAAATTTGTCGTCAACAATCAGACTATAATTGCGTAACATGTATAGTATTTGAAATAATATTGAACATTGTTGTCAATAATTATGCAAACAAAACAATCATGCTTCAATCATGGAACACGCATGACGAAGAGTCACGCCCTTAAGCACTGACAAATCAATTAGAGCGATAAATTATTACATGAAAAAAATTATTGTAATGATTTGATAGTGACGTAATAGTTGCAATCAATCTAACAGATTAAAAATAATCGACTAATTAGGGTCCTCCATGGATTTATTTATTACTAGCTTTCCGCCCGCGGCTTCGCTTCGCGGAGTTCGGTTATATCGCGTTTCCAAGAGAATTTTTCAAAAGTCTGGGATAAAAACTATTCTATATTCTTTCTCAAGCTCTACTCTATGTCCGTACCAAATTTCATTAAAATCAGTTTAGTGGTTTAGGCGTGAAAGCGTAACAGATAGACAGACAGACAGAGTTACTATCGCATTTATAATATTAGTTGGGATTTTTATCATCTACTACGTTTTCATTATTTTAAGCTTAATAAACATCTTCGCAGATTTGGTGAACACTGCAGACAGAGTAATTGTGAATTCATGCACCTGTAATGGAGTTCCCCACCGGTTCTGTTATGCTTGAACAAGACTTAACTGATCTCATGCTAACTAAATAGTATGATAATATTATATAATACTGACTATTTTCAAATATATCTATTTTGTTTTAAATATCGTTCAAACATTCAATTATTATGGCAATTAAATATTAACTGACAACTGTTTTACTTAAATTTTTTAAAGAAACAAAAATTTGCTATTAATTTGTAATTACATTCATTGTAATTATTTTTGGAAAAATAAACCTTAAATACCCACTGCCCGCATTCCCCTTTTATTTTAACTGAAATTAAAATGACACAAAAGATTTTCCAATGCTTTTTATAGAAAACAGTTTCTTGAAATGTTTGTATGTAAATTGATTCAAATAAATCAACCCAATTTTAGAACTGTTATTGTTTAAAATATTGAAAAACACGTACTAAAATTAGATCTATGTTTTATCCTGCAAATTAAATTCCAAAATTTTTATAATCTATGTACTCACATTGCCATTACACTCCATATCTCCATACAAAGCCCTAAATAATATTTTTAGGCTTTAGAATTCAATAATTGTTAAAGAAAATAAAAGCCGTCATAGCCCCGATTAAGTATAGTCTGAAATTAATAGGAAATGATTCTACATATATGTATTACTATGAAATCTCAGGAATCGTACCTTAATTCTCTTAAAGAAGATTAATGTTATACCTACTCTTGTTACAACACAATTAAGAACCCAAGAACTTTGTTTACTGTTGGTTAAACGTGTTAGTTATATTATTATTAAAAAGAGGCGAATAAAATTTAAACGAAACACATTCAAAATCTGTTTATAAGTAATATGTAATAGTGATCGTAATTGATAAATATAAATGAAATGAAATAATCAAAGTGAAAACTCTTATTCCTAATTTACTTATTAAAATTCTATTACAAAAGAAAAGCTTTACAAAAACAGATATCCGAAGACCGGAGTGTACACACGATGTGTTTTCTTAACATCTCTGTGTGTGCAAATTTTAACCGACCTTTTTCTTTCTATGTATTTATTTCTAATATTTCTTGATACAATTCAACTACTGAACCATTGAATAATACTTTAAATTTGTTAAATATTTATCAATCTTCTAATATGTATAATACAAAGTATTTTTACTTTTAGAAAGAACTACTCTTGAAATTATTACAACAACTCAAAAAACTAACAATTAAAAGTTACTTGACAGTACTTTTTTTCTGTTAAACAATAGCTAATCGTGTAATATGCTTAAGGCAATTTAAAGATTTATTACATAGATTACAAAATAAAAGTATTTTTTGCAAAACACTTTTATGTATTATACTGCAATTTTCATTACTAATTATAATAACAATCAAATAATTTCCGCGCATTCTGCTAGCTTTAATCCTTTTATCAATCGTAGACAACCGTATAGTATACAAAAAGATATGATTTTTATATAAATATGATATAAAATAATGCCCACACCGACTTCGTTCCATTAGGCCGAGTTCCGAGTCGGCCATTAGGCCGCAACACGACTGAACATATATACATATATTAGTAACAACAAAAAAACATACTTACAATGTTTCGTTTCGTGCTAATACTGTCGGCAATGACGGTAGCCGTTATGGCTCATCCCACCAGGATGGTTCATCCTTCCGAGATGGCTCTTATTCTTGGAGAAGAAGAATTTGAGGACTACCTAGACAAATATCTAGCTGTAGAAGAAGAGAATTGGATTAATGCTACTTCCTCTCCTCGCAGTGGTAAGCACTTCTAAAATTAAATACGTAATACATAATACATATAATAAAAGGAATTTTGTAATCACTTTACCTAATTTTGTAACTTCAGGGTGTACTCTGAGAGTTAACGGAGACTTTGGTCAACCTCAACCCGTGTATATCAGTAGAAGAACTAATAATTATTTGGCTGCAAGTGGAAACTCAGGTCAGGTTCGACTCAGCGCCGGAGAAGAAGTAATCGTTTCCTGCCCAAACAACCAAGCTATCCGCCATCCGAACATCGTATCTACAGTCCATACCGCTGTAATTATTTTATTTTCAATTAAGCAGTAATCAATTACAATTTTTATTAAACAAATCTGCTTCCGTAATCACTAATGAATGATATCAAATCAGTTGTAGTCGACAGTTATACATTCATAAAACAGAGTAGACATACATATAAGGATTCTATTTTAAATAACACAAAATATATTAAAAATTTTCAATATACGAGTACTTTGCAGACTGCCAGGTGCGTTAGCAATAATTTATTTTCGGGAGCTGGATGGTTAAATGGTAACAGAGCTTTTGGTCAACTAACTTGTGCCGGTCACGCTTTCTACCAAGCTCAGCAGACAAGTACAAGATGCTTCAACAACGGCGTTGTTATTCGGTATGCATTCATCTTTTCGACTGATAATGAACATTTACTGTATTTTAATGTATTTTTTCCTAAAATTCCAGTGTGGGTTTTTCCGTCAACAATCGATTTTATCCTCTCTACCATTCCTGCTACAATCAAAACCGTATGGAAGTTTTATACGTGTGGTATAACCAAAACGCTAACAATGCAGTGCATCAATCCGGAGTTGGTAGACCAAATTGGTTAGGTAATTAACCTTTTATTAAAAACATTTTTTTACATCCATTACAAGAGATGCAAAAAATTTGCTTGCTGCTAGGGTTATGTACTATATGAAAGAATGCTTTTTTAGCTGGAGGTTTCTTCCCTGGTGTCAACATCAACAACCTTTACACACAAGCAAGCCAAAAACGAGCTATTGCAAGACTAGTAGGAAATGCCTTAGCTGATAAATACGTTACGAACACCCAATTCCTTGCTCGTGGTCATCTTGCTGCTAAAAGTGACTACATTTTCGCTACTGGACAACGTGCCACCTTCTTCTTCATCAACGCTGCTCCACAATGGCAACCTTTCAACGCCGGCAATTGGAACAATCTAGAGCTGGTATGATGTTACTTTATATAAATACCATAATTATACCGCTTATTTATCACATACTAAAGATATTTCCTCATTAATTCCTACAGAATCTGCGAGCTCGTATCGGTAGAGCTGGTTTTAACACAGTCATTTACACTGGAACGTTTGGTGTCACCCAATTACGCAATTCTAACGGTCGCATGGTTGATATATATTTGGACAATAACAGAGTTCCTGTACCTCAATTCTTCTATAAGGTAAAATTGCATAAAAACATATCACCAGTTTTTATAATGATGCGTAGATATGTGATATTAATGATGTACTTACTAGGTGGTGTATGATCAATCCAGACGTCGTGGTACAGCATTCATCGGTTTAAATAACCCTCATTACACTCTGGCTGAAGCTCGCAGATTACAGTTCTGCACTGACCGTTGTCGTAATAACAATGCATTCAGCTGGATCAACTGGAGACCTGATCGTATGGACCTTGGTTATAGCTTCTGCTGTACGATCCCTGACTTCAGAAGAGTCATCGGTCACATACCGAACCTCGATGTTTCTAATGGTCTTCTTTCTTAAGTAATGAATGACAGAAAATAATATCAATATGCTAAAGTGATATTGAATAAAGTATTTTATTACTGAATGAAAAAATTGCGTTCTATTTTGTAATTTATGATTGACACTATTTACGATTACGTAGAGAGCGACTAACCCTTTTGACAGTATTAACCATTGGAACTAAGATTGTAACCATAGAAAGTGTTATTTAAGAGTATTAAAAATTATTTATTCTATTTATTAGTCAGTTAGAAAATAAAAAAAAATTTTAGTAGACAAAAATGACCCTGATGCTCCAAGTTAATTACATCTTAATTCGAAGTTACATTACACAGTTACTAACATCTTAATTCTTAGGTGGTTTGTCATTTAATAATCTACGTCGTCACTGTAATGTAGGAAGATTTATGAATAAAAAGCTATTAAAGTTTCTCTGGTAGTGTAACGATGCAAACTTGGTATATGTATACAGCCTAAGAAGTAAATTCATATAAATTCATTCAGTTCAAAAAAACACTTGAGTTGTTTAAGTGTCTGAAACATTGTACAAAATCTGTAATAATCTTCATGAGCATCAGTTCGTCAAACTATCATAAATTTCATTATTCTAGTGAAACAAGGATTCCTCGTTTGGCTATAGTTCTGCTAGAGATGGAAACTTCAAATAAATTTATTAAATGAGCTTAAAAGGTGATACTATGCGTTTGAAACAGTTGATGACATTACCCACAAAATATAAATAAAAAAGTTTAAGATCTTTGGAAGTGTCTATTTTTAATAAACGTTTCCTTTGTCGATATTAAATGTAATTCACAAAACAACTGTAGCTATTTACGAAAACGAGCAATGTAAGTTATGTGTGAATAATTAAATAATCTTAGCAGTTTCATAATATGATGAAAATTTTATTATACCTAAAAAGCCTCCGGTAGGACATAAAAAAACTGTTTTTTTCTATTGAGGCCATTTGTTAATGCTCACTAAAAATTTTCAAAAGATATTTCGAACGATTAAAGCCTATTTACAATGGGGAAACGTGACGTGTGCTTTCTTAAACGGTTTAACTGTCACTGTCACAAATCTTAAATAGGTATATAACTATCCTTCATTGCTAATAACGTGAGCTCGAAAGCTGTTTTCTACTTTGGTTATTCCGCGTTCCCATGAATGGATTCTTTCTCGTAAATCAAAAGAAATAATTTATGATGACATTAAGTGATATATGTATTCAACTCTTTACTCGAATTTATCTCGATTTATACTGATTTTATTTGTAATTGTAATGGCATGTTCCGGTGAACCACAAAATTTTAATTTTACTTGTGTAAAGCCAAATAGCATTTAGCAATAATTACATGAAATAAAATCATCATTGGTAGGTGTAAACCACAAGACATTTAATTTGGGTACACCACATATTTTATTGACAGGCCTCATTAAAATAGTATTTTTAAATTTTAGTGATATAACTCGAGTAATTTACAAGGCGGTACATGAATTTCCTTTTATATGACTATATCACCGATATGTGCCTCATCATTTATTGTATGTATTATATTTGTAACGATAGTTAAGATTTACAAGATATTCTTTATACGATCTGTTCCAAAAAAAGTTGAACATTTTCTGAGCTAAATGCTAATAATATAACAAGCTCTTTCATCCTCCTCACACCACAAATTGATGGCGGTAACAGAAGATTTGAAATAGAAAACATGAAAATTATCAAACAACACGTATGTGTAAGGATTTTGAAGCCTCGATCCAATTTGTTGAAGTAGGTTAAGATTCTGAAAAGTTACATTAATTAAACACTCTCACCTACCTGCGGTCAATCCTCGCCTTGTTAACTACTGGCAAATCTGCTGCGGGTTGCAGTGACGACGAATCCAATTCGCAAGTTTTAGATCCATAAACAATGATATTATTGTGAGAAAGATAGAGATGGTAGGATAACAGCAAAACAAGTAAACCATAGAATTAAAAAGCAGTGAGTAATTCGATTAAAATATTTATGTGGAAGAAAGTAACAAATTGGAGTAAAGAATTTTAAATATTAAGTGCGTTCGTTCTTTTATCCTACATTTGTTTTTAGGATGAGGAGAGAAATAAAAAATATAAAATTATAATCATTATAAAATGTTCATCAAATATAACATTAATTTAAAAATGTATATATACTATTTAATATTTTAATCAGTAAGACGTCTCATAGCATTTAAACATAACTTAATAATATTCAAACAAGTAACAAATAATTATAAACAGCGATCACAATAGCGTCTCTAATGAGTTGTTACTACACTGAGCGAAGAAGGAACAGTCACAAGAGGGTTGGCGCGCCATACTTTAAATCTATTAGCTTATTAGGTGTGTAACAATATATGTATTGTAGTACATTACATTTTATTTTCCGAAATACTACAAAAAATAAACAAAACTTTAATTAAATCAAAGCCCTAAACCAAACGGTTCAGATAATTAAAAAAGTGAGGCATTACAATACAGAATAGAAAAACTGTCTAAACACCGATTTAAGATATTTCAATGTAACATCATTAATTATAATATAGTCAGTGGTGGCCTAGTGGTTAAAAGGCCCGCCTCTCATGCATGAGGGCGCGGGTTCGATCCTGGCAAGTACCAATGTGATTTTTCCGAGTCATATGTACTTTCTAAGAGTATTTAGACATCATTCCCAAAAAGGGTTGATGTCAGGCAGGTGGCCGGTCGTAAAAACAATTAGCCAAAATTATTCACAACATGTAAGGCAGACCCTGGCTAAAGCTGGGAAATTGCCAGGTAGAAGAAGAAAAAGATCATTAATTACAATCTGAAATTAAAAGGAAATGATTTTACGCATAGTAATGTGAAATCTCAGGAATCTTAATTCTCTTAGAGAAGATTAATGTTATACTCTTGTTACAACACAATTAAGAACCCAAGAACTTTGTTTACTGCTGGTTAAACAGATAGTTAGGTATATTTTTGTCACAGATTTGGAGAATAAATGTTTACTTTGACTTATAAGTAACATGTATCATAGTGATCATAATTGATAAATATAAAAAGAGATTAAATTAAATAATTAAAGTTCGAACTTTTATTCGCAATGTACTTTATAATTCTGTATACTGGCATGTAAAAAGTTACCTTAATGTTATTCATAACATAATATGCTATTAAAAAAGAATAACTTTAGAAAAACAAATATCCTTAAACCGGAATAGTCAGACGACTTATTTTTTACGTATATTTGAATTTTAATAGATATTTTTCCTTCAGCGAATTTATCTCCAACTATACTTCATGCAATTCAACTACTGAAACTATTTAATTATGTTTGAGTATTATTAATTATATATTTATATCTTCAATATTATACAAAGAATTTTTACTTATAATAAAGAGGTACGACAAAAATAAAAATTTGGGTTTTATATTAATTGCAACAATAAAAAAGTAACCCTTAAAAATTACTTGAAACAAATGCATTATGTAATTGTGTTATATACATAGTTTGAAGAAATATAAAAATATATTAAAAAGGTTACATTAAATATTTGTTGCCTAATTACGTAAGCATCTTTATTTTAATTTCATCTAGATGGTGGAAATGAAGTTGCAAGAGGTGAGGGCACTATCTCAATACCAGGTTTTCACACTTTCCTCGAGGATTTCTAAATAAGAATTTGAATCTTCTGTGCTCATGAGGAAGCAGGAAACGTTTCATTTCGTCCGGATGAGATGAAGATATACTAAGAAAGAATTGAAGCCCATCATACGTCTGTCCAATGATAGAAAGGATATGCAGGAGTTAAAACTTACAATTCCTGCTTACACTCTCCAGGTAACCTGGAGAATACCGAGAGGCTAGCTACTTTTCGCCTGTGCTCTAGACTGATAACATTGGCTTTACTAAGTTGTGGTTACCAACCTTTGGAACTTTTTGCACGACTCTCCACTACGTCCAACACCAGGATCTGACAACCAGAACTATGTTTTGTATAAACAAAGCAGATTTCCTAGACTTAAACACTGTGCACTTTTGCAAAGGAGCCGAATTTCTTTATAGCTGCCTAAATTTTGAACTCACTAAATGGCCTAAGTCTCGAGATAACGTCAATACATAATAAATGAAAGCTATCAGAACATTACAAGGAAACATGATTAAAAGTTGAAGTCGATATATGTAAAAGATATCTCTTAGCGGTGAAAAGACACGCTTGCGTTCAAGTGGCCCTAAATTTTGTGAAATTACCACAATTACCATAGCCCATTAGGAGACTGCCTGAAGTGTCAAACTAGCAAGCTACTATGGCTCTCTTTTCAACCCTTATCGATCATACCATACCAGTCCACAACTTTCCTATTAAAGCAGGTCCTTCATGTAGAACAACAACAGAGTTTCGGGAAGGTCAGATCCCTGAGGAAGCCCAGTATTGAAAGGACTCAGACAAGAAACTATTAATATTTCTTCATAGTTCCTGGGCCCTTAGATAGCCAGAAATCCAGGCAATGAAACCAGGGAATACTGCATGGCTAGTAATATTACAAATAACGCAATATATATCTTATTCAGGTTACTGCAATTTTGGTGACTAAGTATAATATCAATTAAAAATTTCGCTCATTCGGCTAGCTATAATCCGTTTATCAATAAATCGTAGAAAAATATATAACATACAAAAAGATAAGATTTTTATATAAATATGATATAAAATGATGCCCACGCCGACATCGTTCCATTAGGCCGAGTTCCGAGTAGGCCATTGGGCCGCAACACGACTGAACATATATTTATCAGTAACAACAAAAAAACATACAATGTTTCGTTTTGTGCTAATACTTTCATCGATGATGCTAGCCGTTATGGCTCATCCCACAAGGATGGTTCATCCCTCAGAGATGGCTCTTATTCTTGGAGAAGAAGAATTTGAGGACTACCTAGACAAATATCTAGCTGTAGAAGAAGAGAATTGGATTAATGCTACTTCCTCTCTTCGCAGTGGTAAGCA